CATTATTTGTGAGCCTCAACCAGCCATTTGTATCATATTGGTACGTTTCGCACATTCGCTATTCGTAGTTTATGCACGAGACGTAACAATTTTAAGAGGCGATTTTTCTTGGAAAAACGATTTATATTAAAAAATTCGTTATCCTCTACTTGATTTTTTAAGTCACTAATTTTCAATTTCGAGCGAGCCATTTTGCGACAAAACCTGTACAAAGTTTATGCGAATATCAAAAATAGCATTGTAGGGGCTACCAAGCGAAAAAGGAGCCGTTTTCGCTAGTATAAATTCGCTCGTCGCTGCGACAAGAGAACTGAGAATCCTACCTTGCCTAGCAGCGCGAGCATTAATTGAAATAAAGACTCAGCTATTTCCTGAGACTGATTTTCATTATTAAGTGATTCGCCTGCTATTCCTTTCCTACACGATAATCTAAGTGCTCAACTCATAAGACTCTCTCTCTCTCTTATGAAAAAAAAGCAGCCTTAGACTATCTCCTCTCCAAAATTAATATTACCTAGAAATGAAATTGAGTATTCGATGCGGCGCTGTCAGGCTTTCCCTCGATAGACGCGACAGTGCTCAATTGTATATTAAACGGCTCATGGAAGCTGTGAACTACGTGGATAACACTGTATTCGCTATTCGTTGACTGTAGCAATATCAAAACTCAAAGAACTTTCGAGTGCGAGTGTTAATTCTAGTAATTTTGATCATTGTAATATTAGTAATATGAAGCTATTCCTCAATTCACAATGCTATCCGTACGGAAATCTCAATTTGAATATCAATCAAAATCAGTATGCTGTTCTCTAGGATATGTATACTAATTTTCAAATCGCTTACTATGGTTAAGAAAACGAGCCGTTACTCAATGAAAAAGATTTCATTAATAAAGTACCGCTAATAGTTATAGACTGCTCCAAACAAAATGAAACATTAAAAAGCGCACCAGCCGATGTTCGCCTAGAATTTGAAACTCGGACCGATTTTCCTGAAGATAGTGCGGCTTACTGCTTAATATTACACGATCGTATTGTGCAATATAATCCAATTAGTGGTGATGTTAAAAAATTAGTTTAAAATTAACAAGACATTATGTAATCAATGTAAATAATGCTTTTCAATAAAGAAAATAAAATATATACATTGTTGGAATTTAATACAAACTACCTATAATCTGTAATTCGGTGGGGGGGGGGGGGGGGTATAGTGACTATGACGCCCTCTACTTTCAAATGGTGAGATATAGGCTTTATATAGAACAAACACGTGCATCACCCTCATAACGGCTTTGGTATCTCGTAGAGTTTACATTAACTTATTCATCTTTTTAAAGGGATTTCCTATGAGATATTCAAGGCTTCCAAGGTTCAAACGAGTCTTTTGTATGTAGAGAACTCGCCTATTCATAATTTTCCAACTGTGCATTTCTTTGAACCATCGCATCATCGGTTTAAACTTCCTATCATATGTCGTAAAGTTAATAAATTTTTGAAATGTTTCATCATGGTATACGAGTATTATGGAGATCCGAAATTATACCATATAAAATTTTACCACGTGTACCAAACAATCATTTACATAATTCTAGAAATATTTATGTAAAAGGATTGTACAAGAAACAATGGTTACAAAAAAAATTATCTAGATAGTAAGTATAAAAATTATTTTTTGTCAGAATTTAAAATCATTATTAATTAAAAACTTTTTTTTTCCTTTTATAGAAAAATTTTAGATCTTGAAAGCGACATGAGATATTCACTATGGAGAAAATTACTTTTGCCATTAAAAACGTTGTGTTCATTACGATAATCGAGCTAACTTTGTATGTGCCGTTACAAATGTACAAAAATTGTTTACATGGATTAAAGATAGACAGAAGCAATCTGAACTCGAAGATATCGATGAAGTTGACAGTAATACATATAAAAATTCATCTAAATATTTCGAAATAGCTTGTCCACTACTGAAAGTAAAGATTATATACAGACTGTTCTATATTCAATGTATAATAGTACAATAAATTAATAATTAAATAAAAAAGTTTTAATTAATTAACTAATTAATATTCGAATAAAATTAATAGTTTTGGCATCCAATGAATATTCTATTTTTATTATTTTTAATACGTTTGTATAAATTAGATGTTATTTCTACTAATATACTATTTGTATTTAGTCTATCATTTGAAAAAATATGTATTTACATTTATACTCAAAGTTGCAAAAATTTCTTTGATTAAAGTCTGTTTCAATATCTTTTTTAATTGTTGTGAAAGCTTTATAGATTGCCGTAATCTTAACTATTGGTTTTCTATTTTGTTCTTTTTTAATTTTAATATTATTTGATAGTTTTTTAGTTAGTGTTCTTAAATTGTATTTACGTTGTCTTCAATCATGTAACTTATTACAATTGTATCTTTATTGGTATTTATATGTAACTTTTTAGTTTACAAAGTTTTATCCTTGGTCTATAACGGGGTTCCTGCTCAGCTTCGCTCGAGCGGGACACGCTATATAAAAGTAACCGCGGAAAAGTAGATGAGTGACTCTCCAGAACAGCTCGGTACTCCTGCACCGGGTGTCGTGGGTCCAGCAGCTCAGTTGCCTCCTTTTCTGTCAGAAAGCTTGGCCCGCGGAGAGTGTCGTAGACTACGCGTGAAGATGCGCGACGTCCAAGAAGAGAGATTCGCGCGTGTACAGTCGCATACACAATTACAGTCCAAGGAACAGGGAGTCAGCGGGCAATAAGCACTCGAATATGATTAAACGCGGATGCGTGTAAATTTTAATTAGCAACAAAGGAATACATATTATCAAAACGATCGATATAAACAAAGTTAATCGCAACGCAACAAACTCGCAATAGCTTGACAGTGAAGCGAACGGAACTGCGCACGCGCTACGCGGTTAAGGTCGCGCAAGCACTCGCTCTGTTGTGAGCTGTGCACAATGGCGACAGCGAACCGGCGCGCACCGTTCGAACGAGGAGGCGACAGCACTTAACCTCGTCGAAGCAGGTAGCAGCAAAATCGCCTCGCAGGAGCCGGGTGTTCACGAACGGCAGACCGCACTTATTCGGTTCAAGTACGACGAATATACAAAAGCGACAGCACACTCGCGGAGAGAGAGAACATGCCGGTATCAACTGTGGCCGCGGCGCGACGTGTACAAAAGAAAAAGGCGAGCGTAAACGCGCGGCTTAGTTAACGCAAAAAAAGGGAGAGAGCGGTATAGAGAGAGAAGACAAGCGCTAGACCTGGTACTTACAGTATCGCCGCTTGCACGCTTAATCTAACCCGCGGACCAAGAGCGTTAAGTAGCGGACTCGCTTCTGTTGCGTATTCGCTCTTGTCGTCGATGAATTGGCGATGACGCTTCTCCCCTGATAGGAGCGGTGCTGATCGTCCGTAGTAGGCCTCTGCTTCAGCCCCGCTGTAGCGATATTCTCTGCTACCTTCTAACGCTAGTTCTTCGCGAAGAAAAGCCGGAAAACTTGTGGCGACTCGTGCGAGGAGTCTTAGCCGGTCGTTGATTGAAAGCCAACTGTATCAATTTTCGAAACTCTCTCTCTCTCCTCGCAAGGAAGCGTCTCTCCGCGAGGTCCGCGCCGCGAGTCGATATCGATTATCGTACGCCAGTCGCGTCGCTTACCAGTTCGCTGACGTCCGTAATGCTGTAACTATTCAAACGATATGATAATTTATAATGTTTATTAAATATATTAGTTACTGGCTTCTTGGGGAGAGAGAGACATAACGAATATACAAGCGATTCGTTATAGGTCAAATAATGGACTACAACGTTTTCAAGATTACTACTATCATTATTATTTATTTTTTAACTATAAATTTTTCTACGCTTTTTGCAGTAGGTTTAGACATTATGGCAACCTTAGCATATGAATTTTTGAATGGTGTTGTAATTTTATTTTGTTTTTCTTTCAATATTAAATTATTTAATAAATGATTTTTTTATTTCATTATATATTTCTTTTAATAAATTGTTTTCTATTTTAAGAGCTCGCAATTCTTCAAAATTTTCATATGTTGTCGTTTTCATGATTTGGCCATTTTATGTTTGTTTTTCGTGTATGATTTCATTTAATATTTCCTGTTTTATCTGCTCTGTACTTACAAGTTTGAGGTGAGCGCTAGGTTAGGATGGTCTTGGCAGATCACGAATGAATTGTTTATGAATTTGATGGGGCTTCCTGCTTTGTATTTGGACACTCATTCACTAGTATGATAGGAATTTTCACATACTAAGCAAACTACTGCACTAACTTTGGTGGATGGATCACATTTATAATATTTATCTAGAGAAGAGTCAGGCGGCTTCGAACCGCACGACGTCATGATGACGAATAGATATTCAAATGAAAAAAAGGATTGAAAGGGTTAAAACATTGCTAGGAAAAATTTAAGGCATTGTTTATGGTCAAAAATATGAAAAAAATGTGGTGTTTATTTTTTTGAGCATGTTTCACCAATGGTAAAAATCTAAACAAATTCTCATATACTTGTGAAGTTTAGAAAACAATATAATTTTTTTTTGGCATTACGTCTACCTCTATTTAACAAATATCGAATTAAAGAAATGTCTAAAAACTAAAATATAATAAATATAAATAATAAAATATATATAATAAACTCTAAAATTTGAATTTCGCCCTAAAATTGTTTTAAATGATGCCGTTTTGTCTGTTTTAAAAAACACTACAATTTGAAACAAAAAATGTTCTAGGCTGAAAGTTGACTAATATCATTAAAAAAAAAATAGACGAGCCTCACAATGGCTCATATGGGTTTAAAAGTTTGAAAATTTGGGAACCTTAATTATTTTTCATGTCGAAAAAGATGATTTATCCTTATCAAAATCGCTAAGGGTAGTTTCGACCATCTTATCTAGCTGAACCCTTTTTAGTAATCCTACTATGTTAAAATGGGATATCTTGTATAATATAAATGTAATATTAATTCTTGAAATATAGGAACTTACTTTCGTGAAAATCTAAAATTGCAAGCGTTACAGCATCGGTCCAAGGTGATCGCTTTTGCATTCCAATACCGTAACCAGATCTTCCGAAAAGTTCTCCAGCTGTTACTAACTCACAATCTTGAGCTGCTTCGAACTCCAGTCGTGAACTATCCCAAATAAAAGCCATTAGTTTTCTGTAATTAATTTTAATACTCATTTCCATTACTGATATATATTTTGAAGATCTACATAGTTCAGATCACAAGAATAATATTATATCCAATTTTAAAGTTTATTTAATGTTAATTTAACGTAATTACTTTCATTATTATCAATGCATTTACGTTCAACAAAATGTTGGTTCAGAATTATTATTTTCATGTTATCAACATTCTAAGCTTATTGTGCAAACGTTTATTTCCTATTGGCCTTGATTATTGGTTACACATTATTGTTATATCTCAAGATGATATAGCATGAAATCGATATTACAAAGTCACGTTGCAATGCAAGATCAAACCGCACAGAATACACATCAAGAAATAAACAGAGAACGTAGACGACCATCAAAAAGGAAAATGGAGTGTATCCATACTATCATTTGACATTAACACGAAATTTAGAGAAATTTAGCGAAAAAGATATACGCTGATCAGTTTTCCGACCAGGAACTATCTGTGAAAATGATGATGATCGGAAAATCTGCAGAATTCTGGTAACTCGTGACGATATCACGAGTCGGCCAAATACATACACGGACACACATACTCTTCCAACACTCGTGAAAAGCTATAGAAAATAAAAAAATACAACGGGAAAAGAACTAAGGCAACCTGACATCCGCGCACATACACACTGAAGACGTTGAGGTGAGAAAAGCCGCAACAACTCAGGAAATAATATCTAAAGATAAGTAACCAGCAATCAGCTGTTGGCGGTTGCTCTATGATCACAGGGAAAGCTCTGTTTTTCACGCATACACACACATACACTAAAACGTGATTGGAAAGAAAACAAAGCATGCGAGACCGACGATATAAGAGCAAGATAAAGCTACGGTAATAGAGTCAGTACGGTAAACACGGATTTCTAGAAAGCTTAAAACTATGCATCCAATGATACCACATTAAGCTTATCCTACATCAGCTAATAAAATTAAGAACGATACCATAGCTAATATAGAATTTAAATACATTGGTAAATCAGATGCTTAAGCAAAATGACCAACATATATAAAGCGGAATTGAATCATTTATATACTTACATACGAGGGTCGTTCAATAAGTCCACGACTTCTCAAAAAATAGTGATATCGTAACCTATTTTACACTGTAACAGAGTTCCATTTAGTATGAATATGTATACAAAGTTTCAACTCAGCACGTTGGTTTGAAAATTTTTTACAGTGATTTGAATTTAATTTTTCATTATATAAATAAAATCATGCAAAAGAAATGAGTTTTGTGTGTTTATTAAATATTATTTTGTATGGGGAAAATCAATCAAAGACACTGAAGAATATCTTAGGAAATATTATGGAGACTTTCTCCATCGCATTACATGGTTCAAAAATGGTTTACTGGTTATCATTGTGGTCGTAAGAGCACAAGTAATGCTGAGTGTCTTAGCCATCCAAAAGAGGTGACTACTTAAGACACAATCGATGAAGTTCATGATATTGTACTCGCCGAACATCGATTGAAAGTGCGTGAAATTATCGAGGTTTCTAATATTTCAGTAATATGCACATGGAGCATTTTACATGAATGTTTGGGTGTGAAAAAGTTGTATGCAAGATGTGTACCATGCTTGCTCACAGTTGATAACAAACAATCTCGTGTAGTTGCGTCTGAACAATGTTTATGCATGTTTCAGTGTAATTCAAAGGCTACGTTACCGTTGATGAAATATGGATCACACTCTCGTATGTTTCTTCAATTCACCTTCAAAGCAATCGTTCACAACTTTTTTGAAAGACTGCAGTGCATCAGCGCACTTTAAACACCAAATAGGGCCATTTTTTCTGAGATAATCAAACTTGCAGAAAGTTAGATATAGCTTATTCAAAAATCGAGAAAGTGTAGAGTATAAAAATATCGCAGACAGAATTTTAGATGAGAAAGCTTGGTATCGAGTAATTGATAATAATTCTAGCATTGGTAAAAGCAGCTACTTATTCTGTAACTAACGCCATGAAATAAAAATCTAAATTCGGTATGGCACTCAAGAAAAGAAAAACATAATAACTCAAATCAAGAAGACACAAAATATATAAAAAATTAATATACATGAAAATCATAATCAAAGCTGCTAATTTTAAATAGCCAAAAAATAAATGTGATCCAACGATTATCGGCACAAAAGCTAGTATCAAAACTCCGAGAATTTTGTCAATTTCGAAAAAAATAGTCCGCAGCCCAAATCTATCCGCCAATCCCGGACCTATCACTGTAACCTGTGCACCCGAATTCAACAGCGTAGATAGTTCTTCCTGTTCATATTAACGGTGAGAAAGAATCTTTTTTCTACTAGCGCGATGGGCCCTGTTATCGTCTGCGTCCTAATTCATGGATCGATTACCCGAGCTTGCCTGGGTCCTTCTCTCCATCAAAACGGAAAGCGTTTCCTCCATCCTCACATGGTCAGTCGGATCGCTCATCATCTTTCCCCCTTGCATATCTAATCTCTCTCGCTTTTGATTGTCCGAGAGCGGCTGGGAGCCTGGTGGCGATGACTCGGTCACGCATTCAACCTGGGCTCAATCGGACAATCATCTCTCTATTATTTTGTTGAAGAAGAACCGGAAGCTTGGTGGCGACGTCTTGGCCACGCTCTCAATTGGTACTCGGTCGGATAATTCCATTACGTTGGACTTCTCACCTTCAATCGTGCGATATTCCTCTTCTCTGACGAATTCCAACGATTTACTTTATTTTTATTTCTTCTACTACCTTGAAAATTTCACTGTCGTTGATATCAGCCATTCCTAACTGTTCATAGCGACGCGAGAATCTATCTCAAAACTCCTCCGCTTTAGCATCTACTACCTCCGACTGCGTGCTTTCGATTACACGTATTCGTTCACATGTCACACCGTCCTCACTAGAGCCGCGAGGCTCGGTTACGAGTACTAGCTTCTCCAGATCCAGCCAGCACCGCGCGAACCACCTTGCTTCGGTATATTTTGCTTGCTTGCAATACTCACCTAAGCAAACTTAAATAGGGGTTGCCGAGCGAATGCCGACTTCCTGCGATTTTCTCTGCTGTATGATATTACTCGCACACGTTGGACAGTTCTGAAACGTGAACCTTAGCATTCCACAAACCTCACAGTTGCTCGTCGCACCCAAACACGCATTCGCATAGTGGCCGAGTTGCTTAAGCTGATAATATGTGGGAGGCGGCCTGCTCCCCTCACGACTACCGCGGCTCAGACACTGACAGCTCCTATGCCATCATTCTCCGCACGAGTAATAGTTACAGTCTACCTTGCTCGTCTCGCCGCGTCGAAGTAACCAGTACTTCATTCTCCGACACGTCGCTATTCTTACATTTTGACCGCTACCTGCATCGTCGGCAACCAGTTCTCTCCACCGGTGTTACCTCCGCATTCTACTAAATCTCTATAAACCATGTCGGGAATGAGCATGCTATCGACCGCTGGAGGCGGCCGCCATCTCTTTTCTCGTTCGCGTTGGCGCTCGACTTCGCAGCCCACCCGCTTCAGTTTTTGTAAGGTGAAGAACGATTTCCTGTATAAAACCCTCGCAAAGATGAGGTCCAAGCTTTTCTTACAAATCGATACCTGCTTCTTTTCCAAAAGAGGCCTATTGAAACGGTGAACAATCGATTGAAACGCGGTTAGATAATCGCTTAACATTTCTTTTTCTGCCTGCGTCCGCAACCGCAGACCCTGGTACAGGTCAGCTCTCTTTAGACGTTTCCGAAATTTCTCGTTGAAATCTGCAAAGAATTCTTTCAGAGTTTGCCAACTGTAGTCGTTATTCCTGTACCAAAGGGCAGTTTTTCTCGTGAGCACGATTTCCATCGGGTCTAGTATTTCTTCGTCCTCTAAATTATAAAAATTTTGTCCGTGTCTGCTCCCCCTTCACTCGAGAACTTCAGCAACCATGCGCGAAAAGCGCTTACCGCGTCTGCCGATTTATCGCCGATATAATGTAGGTTTTGATACCTGCTTGAGCGCGCATGGTTCTTTAGGCACTTTCGCCTGTGACCCGTCGACCTCGCAGTGCCCTGAATCTGATGACTCACCCTAACTCTGACTGTCATCCCCTTCACTCACCGAGGCATACCTTAACCTAATTCTCGTACTTGCTCTTTCCTCAAGACGGTATGGATATCTCCTACGCGGCCCTCAAACTTCACAGCACAATTTTATCACCCGTAATCCCCCAACACGTCTCGAGATTATTCTTCTCAATTCTTCATCAGCTCCCCTGATTTGCGAGAGACGACCGGTGTACTGGTCCTTCTCCTCGACTGTCCAAGGGTTTGCACTACGGTGGCACCGCTCTCCTCATCAGAGAAAATCATGCCAATGCGTGAGGGTCGTCTTCTCGCTGTCGATGCAATGCCGAACGGAGCGACCGTTCATCCAGCGATCGCCTACGCAGTGCCCGAATCGCCTTCAATTTCTCATTTTGCAACCTGTCTCACTCATCTGATTGTATATTCAGCGCGGCCTCTTCGACGCGATACATATTATTCACATTTTCGAATAAAACCACTCGCATCTTCTTACGCATTACTAAGCCGGGCAAATTCGCGAAAGTGTTCCAAGTTCGACTATAACCGTTGGATTCTGCCTCGAGACCATGAAACGCTACCTCCTTGTGTGGTGCTCACTCTTTTTTTATGCCGACGACAGTCGTCGACTCGCCACTCACCGCATTGTGCGAATCGCCCCATCTATCCAGCGTATTTAGTTCGGATCTGCTTTCTCGCGCTGTAATCGGTTGCAATCGCTCTTTTATCGCTGCAGCGCGCTGTCGCCTGGGAATTGACGTAATTTTGGTTTAACTATCTGCTCATCAGTCGCTTATCTCGCTCCTATTGATGTGCGAGTCCATTTTTTTTTTCCATTATTATAACGACTAATTTGACAAGATGCTTGACGCGATTATGCGTATCGAGCAAAGGCCAGGCGCGCTTGTTTTCATGCAAATGCACGAAC